TGGCAGGATGTCCTTCCAGGCATAAAGCACATACAGCGGGAGTAGATTTCATTTTATTGCATTCACTAGTCTTGTGTGACTGGAGAGTCACATGGAGAGTCCGCACTTCACGCATCTTGGAATGTAGTGGCAGTTATGACACTGGACGATTTCTCTTTTAGTGTATGGTTTTTCAACCTTAACACTGGTATAATATAATCTTCTAATTTCGTATATTTTATCAATTCCTGCTAAGGGTTCTAAATCTAAGAAAAACATGGGTAATGGTATTTTTCTATTAGCACCGGATACATCTCTGTCGTCCTTCATTACATTGGTGACCTGTCAGACTTTGAAACCTAGGGCCGTCCGTTCTTCTTGGATCGCCTCGGCTGGAGTTGAGGGGTGCAAATTTCGGATTACTACCCTCAGGGAACGCTCTTGCCTCAATTGGTAGGTGTGAAAATCTGCCTTTGTGTGTGATAGATATATAATAATTTAGCGGTATGAATCAGCTGTGGTTGGGGATATTTTCATATCATTAGTCCGGCTTAAACAGGAGTAGCTACCAGGAGTTGTAATTTTATTTAAATGTGTGCATAATAACGGAATTTTTTTTTAATTTCTAACGAAAATTGGAGGGGGTCGAGGTTCTCTGGGAATGGGTGCTGATTCCATCGCCTCTTTTTCATTTTGCATTACTTCGTACGGATTCGGGGTGAAAAAGGGAGACTCGTCTATTGTGTCCTTAGATGATCACGGCTGAGGTTGAGTTTCTTCTGCTACTTTAGGAGGAGTCGCAGGTGGCTTCATTCTTTTCGATTGATTTTTTTTTTCGCAGGTGAAGAACGTGGAGTTGACCTGGCAGAGCGAGACCTCTTTATTGCACCCTTAGAAGACATGAGTTGATGGTAGAATCGCATAATACATCGAGATAAAGTAAAGAAAGAGAAAAAAATTTAAAACACGCTGCGTGACTTTGATTTTGTCTCAGCATCACAAAAGGACCTCTCTCATTAAGGCTCCAAGCCCACTTGACTACGTTGGTCCAGGTACTTATGGCCGTGAGATAAGGAAACTGGCCTCTATACACCGGTTTCACTTCACACGATTGCACACAATAAATAACAACTGTACTCACTGTGGCATTAGTGCGTATTATAGTCCAGGTGTTTAGCTCACGTATAGTCACAATTTAATTAAAAAATAACACTAATTTCCCAAGAAAAAGTGAATATATCTAAGAGACGAGATAAATGTGGTATATTATAATCTAGCGCATGCGCAGAACTTGTCCAGATATTAAAATCAGTGAATCAACCCACTAAGAGCTAGACCGAATGAATCTCCCACCACTTAAAAAAACTTTTCAAAAAATGTAGTTTGAAGTATAGAAGTTATTACACATATTCAGGGTGTCCAGCGATCTGGAAAACCGCTAATTGTATGGGAATTTCTCAAACCGGGAAATGTACGGGAATTAAAAAAAAAACATGGGAATTGTTTTATTTATTTATTTATGCTCCTTTATCCTATTTTTTTTTCCTATAAAATAAAAAGGTCAACTGTTAATAGTATTATATGTTGCTGATGATGGGAAGAACATTTCTCGAAACATCTAACAGATATAGTAATAAGCAAAGAATAAAATTCAATAAAAAGACGTCCTCCTGTATATAATTATTTATTTTATCTTGCTACCAGTTTAGCTCCTTCATCAGGCTAAATATAATAATCATGTAAAAATTAAGGATATAAAAATTAACAACAATAATTTTATATGTAGTAATTTTATATACCGATAAGAGTGCTTGAGGAGCCATTACACTATATAAGGATAGCTGGCAGACCAAAATTTAGATAGGCAGATGGTGTGGCAGATGACGCTATAGACCTGTTGGAAGTCAGAAACTAGAAAGTGGCCTCACAGAATAGAGAAATCTGACAGAAGCTTATTGAGGAGGGCAGAACCTACTGAGGGTTGTAGAGCCATTAAGATAGATAAAATAGCTTTAGACATTTTTCTCACCAGACATAGTCTGTGAGCCAGTTTCCTAGGCAAACCATTCTCTCTACATGGCCTAGCCATCTGAGCCGGCTCCTTTTGAAAGTGGCTACAATATCATCATATTTAAACAGCTCATAAAGCTCGTAATTTTTCCGTATTCGCCACTGGTTATTTATTTTCTTCGGACCTTATATTTTCCTTGCGACTTTTCTCTCTCAGATTATCAGCAACCTCCACTTTCTTGTGTCAGAACCCATGTTTCACACCCGTAGGTAACGACTGGCATTATAATGGTTTTATAAATTGTTACTTTTGTATTCCAGCTCAGTTCCTTGGATTTCAGTATTTTTGCCAGGGCAAAAATACACTTATTGCCAGCTGTAATTCTGGCCTTTATTTCGGCCTGCATTTTGTTCTGGTCAGTGAATATTACTCCGAGGTATTTGAATTCTGTTTCCCATTGGAAAGAGGTGCTGATTAATTTGAACATATTCATGCATAGCTACATTATTCCTTGAGGACTTCATGTAAGGACTTTTCTCTTCGTTTATCCTCAGGTCAAGCTGCATTGCTGTCGCATCAAATTCTTCCATAGATCCCGCAAGGGCCGACAATGTGCAATCGCTGATAAGAATATCATCTGTGTATGCAAGACATTGAGTAAGTCGATTGAATATAGTCCCTCCAGGATTGGTCCGTTTTGCTCTAAAAGCCCGCTCCAGGGCTAGATTAAAGAGGACTGGTGATAAAGGGTCTCCCTGCTTCAAGCCCTGTTTTACCTGAATGCTGTTTGAGAGGACGTTTTGAATCTCGACCTTACATTTGGTATCTCTTAGCATCATATCTGTCAAAGGAACAATTTTTCAGGAATTCCCAGCATCCTCGTAGCTTTCTGTAATTCCTTTCTGTCTATAGAATCATAAGCCTGCTTGAAATCTATAAATACATGGTGCAGATCCACGTTATGCTCGTATGTTTTCTCTAGCATTTGTCTTACAGCAAAAATGTGATCCACTGTTATCCCTATTTTTCCTGAAACCACATTGATAGTCTCCGCAAATTCTTTCTCCCCATGATGCTAGTCTCTTACTAATAGCAATGAAAAGGACTTTATATACAGTTGGCAGTAGTGCTATTCCTCTGTACTTGTCGCAGTTCAACTTATCCCCCTTTTTAAAAATAGGACATAGATAGCTAAGTTTCTCTCTCAGCCGCGTCACCGTCATTAGAGTTCAGTGAAGACTAAGAGAGGGCACTAGAGCCACAGACGCTCATGACTGGAGAAGTGCCAGAACTCTAATGACAGATTTAAAAAACATCTCAAGGTCACTACTGTTTCAACCTGCAAGGAGGATAGTGGGCATGACTGGAATGGATAAGGATAGTGCAAAGGGATAGGTTCAGATGAAAATTTGAGAATCGGGATGTTAAGGTCATGATATAAGGTTTGGTTCGTTACATAATAAGGAGCATTGACTATTATACGGAGGACTTTAAACTAGAAGGATTGGATGCGTTTGATGTTCAAAAATGTATTTGTCCCCCACAGTTCAAATCCGTAGGTCCAGATGGGTTTCAGTATGGTTTTGTATATTAGTAGTTTGTTTTCAATTGAGAGATTAGAGTTTCTGTTAAGTAGTCTGTATAACTGGCCAAATCATCGGCTAACTAAAAATTATCACTTACATAGTCATTATATAACTGTATCTCAGAAACAACAGCTAATAACATTTTTTTTTTTCATAATAATTTTCATATTCAGCTGGCAAAAATACATTAATACAGCTATTTTTGAGCATGAAATAAATTTTTTGGTGGTCAGTATAATAAAAGGTTGATCATGCTTGTTGATATACCGAATAACAGCAATGCACCTATTTTCTTAATCTGGTTGAAAGTATGCACTATAATAATTTCAACATGAAGTCTCTGTAGATGAGTGATACACTGCTGAACCACCAATAAAAATTCAAAATCAATCAAGTGAATATACCTATTGAGAATTTGTTTATCACTGGAATGAACAGAAGTCTGACCCTCAGGATATAATCAAAATTATAACTTTAAAAACGCCAACTAACTGGGATCAGGATTTTAATTAATCAATGAGATCTTAGGATCCCAATTAATCTACTTTTGAAATTCCATTAAAAGTGTGATCAATATGATCTTGATCCACCTTCTTTTCACATAATTAAAGGACCAAATATAATTTTGTATACAAAATACAATTATCACATCCTGATATATTGTTATAACAATGTGTGATATGAAATATAAATATGTCGGGATGTGATATGAAATATTAATATATCAAGTCTGGTTGACACTTGAATGCAAGGGGCTGGATAATGAGGAAGCTAATTTAGGTAGCCTATTTATCTCTGATTTGGTGAGGGCTGATTTATGTAGCTACCAGAACTATAGTTTCCACATTGTTCTGCCTTTTTTTATCTGGATTCCTCTGACTTTCTCAAATAAACTCTAGTAGAGCTGCGACTGAGAATTCATCAATTGTTTCTGAATAAACATCTGACATTAAAATGATCCGAAGGAACTTGTTTTCTTTGGATAAGGGGAATTCATCATAATAAGAATTGTATGATGGTAATTATGGAGGTACATTATAACTGTAGTACTATCCTCTATCCCTGTAGCTGAATATGTACAGTGGGGTGTTGCCTGATACCCCAAGCCCTCTGCTGTTCAACCAGAGCTCGAGCAACCTCCTGGCTTAAGTCAAAACGGACTACCACAACTATTGAGTTAATAGTAGTGATAGACCCTGCCTTTATCATCTGGGAGTCCTATCAGACTCACCAGTGGCTTCTGAACAATAGGCATTGGTACATATAAGGATTGCTGTCAGAAGGAATGGGTTGAACAATAAGTCACGATCACTGCAAACAGTGGCGGATTACTCCTCTTATTAATAATATTATCTCCTTTTACCCTATTCATTTACCCCCCAAACTTATCTTGTTAATGATTACATTTATTTTTTCAATTTCAGGTTGAAAAATTTCAGGGAAGCTACAACTGCATCCAAACAGACGGGTAAGATTTCAATTTTAACAGTTCTAGTTTTATACTTTTAAATTAGTTTTGCAATTTATGGTCTCTCATTTTTACTTTCACTTACCTATATATGTAATATATAGTAAGGGTAAGTATTATGATGATGAAGATTTTCGAATATGAATTTTCAACTGAAATACACTTTTTGAGGTCCCTTGAGTCCAAATAACCAAGTCCTACAAAGTGGTGTGTGTGTGTTTATTTAACTATGGTGAACAGCCTAGCGCAAAAACTAAAAGTCATACGAAATTGAAATTGTGTACTTCAGGATTTTATAAGCCTGGGATGTTATAGCAACATTTTCATCAAATTGACATACCGAAAGTTTGTATATTGTATTTGAAGTAAACCAGAAACCGGTACTTTATATCCGATTTAACACATTTTTACGATTTTCTCAAAAACAGCTCTAACGATTTTGAGTAAACTCAGTATATCAGTGTATTATTAAGCAGTTTTTAATATAACATAGGTTTTATTCTCATTGGTATTCTCTAACAGGGCTTAAATGGCTAATTTTCAATATTAGTTTCCTCTAAAGTACCTTTAATTTTTTTTTATTTGAAATAATTAATCATTTAATTAGTCTTTGATATAAAAAACAGTTAAATACAAAATATGAAAGAATTTGATGTTTAACTAAAGGAGAAATAAGATATCGTAACGGATAATAGTTGTAATGGAGGAACCAAAAGAATACGAGTTCACCCCAGCTCGCCCGAAAGATTTGAACAGGCTTCCATATGAACTTAATATAATGTGGACTCCTACAATGTTATGTATATATACATATGCGGTTTTCATAAATCCTATCATTGATATTATTTACTATTTAACGGTATAGATTACAGTATATAATATAAAAATTAAAATTTGTATGTATAAGGGTAATTAAACAAATAGAAACGCCCACCATGAAATGTAAATAAATGCAACGTCTATAATTTTTACTTTCATTTGCCCTTTGTCTGAAAATACTTATTTCTGCTAAGAAGAGGGTGGTAAGTGAAAGTCATATGATGCGTGCAGCAGATTTTTATTTTTATATTTACATTTTACTTCTAAGCCAACCTGACCAACAAAACCCGATCGATTTAATAAACTCCACCCTTGCGTCCTTCCTGAAAGATCTCCAAGAGACTATCAAGCCACTAATCACCCTCCTCACAAGAATCCTTACCGAAATTCCCTTCAATCTCTCACGATGAGCACAAAGCCCCTAGCTGTTCTTTTATGGAATGCTAACGGACTACACAACCACTGAGACGAACTTGACATTTTTCTTCATGACTACCACATTGATATTGCTCTACTGACAGAAACTCACTTCACTCGATGTTCATATTTCTACATACGTGACTATATCACTTATAGATCAGACCACCCCGACAACACTTCCCATGCCGGTTCTTGCATTTTTGTCCATAAATCCTTATCCCATTCTCTCATTCCTTCTACTCCAACTGAGGCTATTCAAGCAACATTAGTAATCATTTCAGCTCGCCCTTTCCATTTAACATTCTCAGCTGTATACTGTCCTGGTCATACTCCTACATACAACTTACTTGAATCCTTATTTCAATCCTTCGGATCACGCTTTATTGGTGGAGAAGACTACAATGCTAAACACCAACGATGGGGTTGTCGAGCATCCAACTCCCGTGGTAACATATTATCTTCTGTCTCAACTTCCAATAGTTACTCTGTTCTCTCTCCTATGAACCTATCTATTGGCCAACATCCCTCAAAAAACGCCCTGATATCCTGGACATATTTGTCATCTCCCAAATTTCCTCTTCCCATGTCACAATGAAATCCCTGGATGACCTCTTCTCAGATCATTCTCCAGTTCTGCTTTCATTACATACAATCTTCGCTCCTAAACCCTCGTCCTCTCCTACACTGATTACAGGACAAGTAAACTGGGACAAATTTCGTAAAAACCTGGAAAACAAATTGGACCTAAATATTCCACTAAAGACAAGACGTGACATTGACGCAGCCATTAGAAGTACTTACTACATCTATAAGTGACAAAATAAATGATAATACATCTACCAGTAAAACTGACAACTCCCAACAGACAAATTTTCCTCAGTATATTCGTATCTTATTAAGGGAAAAATGCAGAGCAAGATCGAAGTGGCACAGGACTAGATAGCCATCAGGTAAGACATATTACAACAAATTAACTAACCAACTAAAAGCTGAAATTAGAAAATACAAAGTTCAAAATTTACTTAACATGACAGAAAAATTTACTACTTCTGACAAATTACTATGGTTGACCACTGAAAAGCTCCTTAAATTCAAAGATTTTAACCACCCACTTATTACTGAAACCCAAACCTGGTCCAGATCTGACAAAGAAAAATCTCAAATATTTGCTCAGCACCTCTCAAAAACATTTAATCCACACCCAGATATCCTTAATCCAGTATGCCCAATCGGTGCTGAAAGGTAGTATATAACGGAAGATATTACTCAAATTACTAAATTTTACCAAATAATTTGCTATTATAAAAACAACATCACAAAAACTTTTTGTTTTATTATTTTTTTTTTTACAATCTTCCTGGCCTAAAACACAACTATTCAGTTTTATCAAATGCATGGAAGGATGAATATGAAAATGGAGAGCAAGGGGAATGAAATGTTAGTGATCCCGCGAGATCACTAACATTTCACACTAACAAGGCTGTCAGAGAGAGAGAAGGCGGGAGCAATGCGAGTATGACCTGGTTCAGTACAAGTTCTACAATTTGGATAAAAAATGGTTCAAAGTATAATGAATGAGAACAGTCCAAAGCAATGGTCGATTAAAATTGAGAAGATTGAAGCTCATTTTAAATTACGTTTTGAGAAAAAGAAGTGATAATGTGAAGAAAAGCTGCACACCCTCTTCCAATATTCCAAATATAGAAACTGTAGAGCTAAGAGTTGTTCATAAGGCAATAAAGATTATATCTTTGGACACTTAGCCCGGTCTTGATGGAGTTCTTATAAGGAGGCTGGGAATTTCACATATAATCAAAATGATAATAGACATCATGCTGAAATTCAACTATATCCCTCAAATTTCCGTTTCGGGCTGACAATTTTAATTAATAAAGGAAAGGGTTCTAGTGATGATTTGTCTTTGTGGATACCCATAACAATTTATCCCTTATTAAGGTGTATCATTGAAAAGATTTTTGATCACGAGCTTTGAATGCTAATTTCTCTTCACCCAAACCAGGATTTCATGATTAAACAATTGGGATGCCATATCAACTGAAGAATCATTGAGGCTGTTCTCATGGATGCAAAGAACAAACAGAAAGATGCTCCAGTCATATTCTGCTCCATTGAAGATTGTGATACCATTAAATACCTCGGTTGTCGGTTCTCTGGGGAGCTAGTTTGATGTTGTTTCTGTGGCTAAAGTAACTAGAATGTGGAAAAATTGGATAATTCAAATCTCCTTAAGCCAGAACAGAAGATAAATATTTTAAACGGGTATGTTTTCCCATCACTAATACACCCACTGCAGACAGTGCTAATGGTGAAATTGCCCCCACGTCTATTGTATAAATATCGTGCTGTGAAGCAGTAAGGTTTACCAGCCAGCACTTGCTCAGCAATAATATATGCAATGTGGCGGTACAGAGGGTTTGGGTCTTTTGCGGTGCCAATGGGAGGCTCCTCTTTAACACTGGTCCATTTCACAAAAATTGGCCAATGTGACAGATACCCTGTTTCAGGTGGTTTTTAGCTTTGAGAATGATGTAATAAAGTGTGCAGATCTGTTAAGGATTAAAGTGCATAATATGGAACATTGTTTACAGTTAAAAATGTAAGGCATTCCTTGAGAGAAAATTTCTTTTATGATTGTAACAATTGCAAGTGAGAGGGAATTGGTGTTTCCCAATTTAAAGCAACCCATAGACCAATAAATTTATATATGAGAGAAAGGTTTTCATCTGCTCAATGGAGGAATGCCATGAAATTGTATGTCAGTTACATTCCTCTAGGTCGAGTACCAGGAACCAGAAGCCAGGCTAACGGAGATGTTGGACCTCTCTTCCGCTAATGTGGCTGAGAGTCAGAAACCCCATCTCATGTATTGGGCAGTTGTCTGAATGACATGCTCCATGTCATCTGCCGGCACAATAATATAAAGCATCGTATTACTGAATTCGTTGAAATAAAGAACTATAGATGTTTTCTCGAGGTTTATTACTTGCATTAAGAATGCTCATCTATACTGCCAGACAAAATTAGAGGGTCACTTCAATGTTTTGATTTTAATTTACTTTTTTAAAAGGATTCTTGTAATGATAGAATGAATAGCTTATTAAAATAGCAAAAGAATCAACAAAGAAAGAAAAAATACATTTTTTTTTTATTTTAAAATGTTGGGTTTGGTGGAATTTTTGAAAAATAAATTGTAGAAAATGGAAAGCATAATCATGCTCTGTTTAGTACTTTTAAGAGGGAATTTAAAAAATCTTGCAAGGCAAGACAGCGTCTAGAAAGTAAGGATCATTTTTTTTTTTTTCTTTTTGAGGAGGGGAGAGGTTTCGCAGGAAAAACTCTTGCCTTCAGGCAGTCTACTTGCTACGCCACAGTGCCCAGCTTCCAATATTTAAGGATCATTGCCAATGATTTATTGGATACACTACTTAGCCTATTTGGATTATATAATATGTTGGCCATGTGTATGGTCTCCTCTGATGCATTGGTTGCTCATTATCACCAACAATGGAAGCAAATATTTACCCATGCACATTGGCCAATGTTTGTCTCGAGTTTGTGATTTATATGGCAATAATTTTTTTTTTTTTTTTCAGCTGATGGAATAAGACGTTCAACAAGAACAAAGAAACTAAAGTATGACAATTTCAATGATAGTTGGATTGTTGGAGAACAATCCTTAAGAGGCTATCCAATGCTTTCTACTCTTTCTCCGTTTTCCAAAAGTAATTTATTTATTAATTCTCTGTTTAAAAAAAAATGCATTTTACATATTAAACCTCTTAATAATTTTATTTTATATAATTATCCCTTGAATTATATTGTGATAAATTACTTTCGTGATAATTTTATGGAGTTGTGTTATAGAAAGTTAATCAAAACTATTTAAATCAAAAATTTTTAGCTTATTGAAAGTGAGAAGTGTGTCACTAGACCTGATATTCTTGGAGTCAATGACATTTATTCAACAAAGGAAAGTAAAGTTACTGATATCCTTAATTGATAGTTCTTATCAGGTAAAACTAGAATGCTCAAATCTTGCTATTCAAACCAAATGCATTTCTTGTTAAAAATTTGACCTAAATTAGTTAGATTTTAAGGATCATAGAAACTAAAATATAAATATCTGCAATCTATAAGAAAGTGTTATCACAGCCATTTTGGTATAGCCTTAGCAGAAATTGAATGTATTTTCAAAACTTATTTGCTCAAACATGTAAAATGTTAGATCCAAGTCAAAATTAGAAAGATCCATTCAATCTAACTATAAACTGCTGTGATTTATTCTAAAATATTCACCATAGCAAGGTGAGTGAAAATCAGTCATATAAAGTGATACTGGCAGGTGTATTTCCAATAATATTTTAGTTGAATCGATTCAACCATATTGGAAGCACTTAAAAATAAAAATATAGTAGAACTTGTTTAATTCAAATTTGAAGGGACCAATGAAAAATTAAGAATTTCCAAGCTTTCGAATTGAACAAGTTCATCAAAAAGAAGATGGTCTAGGAGTCGGTAAAAAAAAGTTATTATTATTTTTTCTGTCCTTTCAAACCATCTACTTTGTGATTTATCTTACGGTTAACCATCTACTCATATGAAAAAGTTACTCTATAAAAGGTCAATTGTGATTATTGAGTCTACCAACGTCCCCTTTATTGGTTTTGGGAAGAAAAAAATGTTCAATATGTTTGCCTGTAAAAAAATTCATAAAAACAAAAATTCTGTAGTTTAAGAATACGCGAAGCATTTTAATAAGTAAAGTTGCAGAAGAAAGCGGGTTAGGTCAGTGGGTAAGGCATTATTTCCTAAGCTCAAGGTCTCAGGTTCGAATCCGTCTGATGACAGATAAATTTTCATTAACTGTGGATCAACCCTGGGATTGGGAGACACTCCTAAAGAAAACATGGTGGTTGAGCGTAATACTGACCTAGTCACCTACCCATAACCGTTGGCCTTGAAATAGTAATTTCAATTTTAATATTATTTTCTGCTTTTGTTCTGCATATATTTCTTGGTTATAATTTGTGGAAATTAAGAAAATAAATTAATAAAAGATTACTAATAATATTAAATTAATTCAAATCTATAAGAAATTCCAAAAACCAAGAAATGCTTCCAATAAAGTAAACTAAGTGAACTTTTGAACTAAGTGAATGAAAAAGCAATTCAAATTGGTTTTTAGCATTCATTAAAACATAAATACAAATTTGTACTTGATTTTATTACAGAAATGTTAAATACCTGTGGGGTTTAGAAAAAAAAAATATTTGACTCATAGTTATAGTATGACCAGTAATGTGGCTGAGTGAGAGGCACCGGGATCTCCTATAGTCCTGCCTTCCACAATTGAGGGTAGGCTCGAAGTTCTCCTGAGTGAAAGAATTTTGTAAATATTGTGTAAAAGTATTCTTGTATTTATGGTGTTATTTTGATTAGTTCAGTTTCTTTTTGTTTGTGTTCATTTAATTTTAGTATTATTATTTTACTGTTTAATTTATGTTTATTTATTGTACATAGAGTGTGAATGTACTCTCTGAACACTATTATAAATGTCCTTAATTGAGACAGATGTAATATTTCTTAATGAATAATTTTAACCTGTTAATCGAGCAGGCCGTATTAATATGCCCGCTCTTCTGACTTTTTTTTTTTCATTCCTCCTACCTGGCCATTTTTGGCAACAGGGTTCTGAACAGCAGTGAGGTAGTGTGCATGGGTTTTGTGTATGCCACTGCCACCGGTCATACTTTCTCTATTTGTTATTGTTCTTTATTTTATACATGCTTTAGTGTCTGTATTTATTTCTAGGAAAAATAAATATAGGGTTTTCCTGTGGCACAGTCCAGTGCCATCTAGTCCCAGTGCCTTGTTAATCTTTAACTTCACGATGGCCATTTCAACTTCTTCTTCATCCAGTAGCTCCAAGTCCGGAAGGTCTTCTGCTCTTGAACCTGAATCGGCTCCATCTTCTACATTGTTGTATAGGGTGTTCTTAAAGTGTTCCCTCCATCTGTCAGGGATATCCTGTTTTTCTGTCAGTAGATTTCCATTTGCGTCCTTGTATGAGATGACCCTTGATTTGAAGACAGATCTCTCTTCATCAACTTTCTGGAAGAGAAAAGGTTACTCTCATGGAGTGTCCTGTGATTTTCAACATCCTACATTCTTTTATTTTCCCATATTATTTTCTTCCTTCAATGAATGTTTTTTCCTTCTTTGTGTCTGTTTATATATTCCTCTTGGGATCACCTAGTGTGACGCTGGATCATTTTCCTGTAGGCGTCATTCTTTCTGGTTGTAACGGCCAAACATTCATCATCGAACCATCTCAGTGGTCATCCAGGGTATTGCTCTTTCCTCTCAATTCTTCCTCCAGCTCAAGGTCTAGTTACTGCCAGTATGCTGCCCTCTGATCATTTTTCTTCAGCATGAATACATTGAATTTCTGTGAGATTAGACTAGCTGCATTTCTCTTCGTTGATATCCAAGAATGGATTCTGGCAGACCATACTTAAGAAATGGTCAGAATCCACATTAGCTCCTCTATAAACTCTAACCTCTGATCAGGCTGGATCGGTGACATGAGCTTATCAGAATTTGGTCAATTCGGTTAATTATGGATCCATTTGGTGATTTGCAGGTGGCTTTATGAATTTTCTTCTCATTATCTTTATCATCTTTATGAATTTTCTTCTTTTCTTTGCTTCCAACTATCAAGCCATTAGCCACAGAAACGTTTATGAGCTTTCGCCCATTTTCATGTATGCTCCTGTTGTTCGACAATATATAGTTTCTTGGCAATATATAATTTCAATCGTATTCTTATCCTCATCTGATACAACTTCTGTTGGAGTGTGACAGTTTATTAGAGATATGTTAAAAAACTTTCACTTAATGCGTCGATAGCACAGGCATGGGAAAATGGGCCTGAACATCAGGACAAGCTGATGAGCTCTTCCTCTAACTACAAATCCTTTGCGTGATGTTTCTCATAGCAGCTATACTACACAGTGTGATATTTGTTTTCAAGTGAACTGGATCCCAGCCAGGGGACTTTCTCAGTTGCTGTAATGTCAGCTTGATATTTATTCATTTCTGTAAGCAGCACCTGAAGGGCTCCTAGTCTGTGTAATGATAAAGTTAATGTTGTCTAGGGTGTGATGGAAAAATATTCATGAATCACAAAAATTGTGATAACTTCAACAGAAGTCGCAAGTTTCATTGAAATCAGTGATCCCATATCTATAACCTCCCCTTGTTAGGAAAAAAAATAAATTGAATTCTCCTCAAAGAAAAGTAATTGAAAATATCCATGAAATAATTAAAACAAAATCGATAAATAAATGTGAAGAAAAGAAAAAGAAAAATACAGAAATGTCACTAAACAGAAAAAAAAAATAGTAATAAGAAAATAACATCTATTGATTGTGATAATAATTTTTTTCTTTCTGAAAGTTTTTTGTTTAAAGAAGAATATTTTTCTTGTTATTCACAAAATATTTAGAAAAATAATAATATAACTATTAAATCACTGCTTCATTGTGATATAATAGAATTAAATCTCAATAGTTTTGACTATTATTTTATATCAGTATATTCGAACTTTAATAAATGGAGCAACGATTTACAAGAACTTTATAATGTAATTGCTTATTTTTCTGATTCAAAATTAATTTTAATTGGTTATCTTAACAGTAGACTGTCTAATTTTCTAATTATTGGGTTGGCAAATAAGTCCTTTCGGTTTTTCAGGGTGAAATAAAACTCAATGTATTATAGACATAAACTTAATATTAATCTACAATATATTGACCATTATTTAATAAGACTTTTTCCATCTTTCCACTAGCCACATAATACCATGTTCATAGAATGTCTGGAGTGTATTGTTAAAAAACTGATCCAAGGGATTTTTTATGTCCTCATCCTTTTGGAATTTCTTTCCATTCATGGAGTTCTGCAGAGACCGCAATAAGTGATAGTCACTTGGAGCTAGGTCTGATGAATAGGGATGGCGGGACAAAATGTCCAATCCAAGACTCAATAATTTATCGAGAGTGACCAATGAGGTGTGGAGCCCAGCGTTGTCTTGGTAGAATGCAGTACCTTCCGATTTGCCAGTTCTGAACGTTTATTTTTAATTGATTGGTCCAGTTTTGTTATTTGAGTTGAATCAATTGTTTCTCCTGATGGAAATAGCTCATAGAAAATAACACTCTTGAAATCCCATCATATGGAAAGCATTATCTTCTTTGGATGCAATCCAGGTTTTTACATCCTTCTAGCAGATTTTCTAGACTACATTATCAATTTTTTATCTCCTGTTACCAATCTTTTCGAAAATGGGTCATTTTGTTGCCGTTTCGGTAGTGAATCGCAAACAGAAATGCATGTTGCCAAGTTGACATCAGTTAGAAAGTGAGGGACCCACCCAAACATTAAACCTGGAAACATAGCCGAGCTTTTGCAAATGGTTTATTATTCTTGTGTGCTATACATTTAGACCCATAGCAATCTCTTGCACTGATTAGGTGGGATTTTGATCAGCAATGGCCTTAACATGGCGACCAGACCGTTGACCATCATTGATATCAAAATTTCCTGAATGAAATTTGGCAAACCAATTTTGGCAGGTGAGTTCGGTTAAGGCATCATCCCCATAAATACTGCAAATTTTTCTATGAGCTTCTGCAGCACGCTTAACTTTTTTAAAATAATACAACAAAATTCGCCGATAATGAATGATATTTTCTTCCATATTCACAGTGCAATAGCAAACACAATACTAAGCTAGTTTCAACAAGAGTTAACAGATATAGTTGTTGACATATTTCAAACAGGATAAACAATCCACCTTAGGTAAGAAGTGTATCATAGTAACAGAAAAACAGAAAGGGCTTATTTGCCAACCCAATATCTCTAAATACCAGTTGTATGATGATTTACAACACTTTCTATTCCTTAGAAATTCAAAAGATCAAGAAAGTAACAGAGATAGTGAAATTTAGTTGTCTGAAGATTTTAACTTAATAAGATTAAACGATAGAGGATTCTTTAGGTGAATTTATGTTGTCTGTAGCAGAGTATCCTCAGTTATAGATCTTGTACCTTATTAGCTGAGTTAAAAATATGTTTTCGAAGTAATAGTGGTAAATTATTCAGGCCATATGCCGATTTGTATCTAATGTGCCATAAATAAAGTGGGAAACTTCAACCAAGTGATTCTATTATTACCAAAATTGAAATAAAATGAAAAAATAAAGCAAGTTTACTTAAAAGAAATGGAAACTGTGTTATACAGTACTATTTTTTTTGCTAACCAGTTACTCAATAACTTTTAACAAATTGATAGGGATACTAATTGGTTTTGCAAGGGATCATAATATTTTGAGTTATAATATGGTCATAATATATGAGTTAAAGTGCATGTATAATAATAGAGTGTACAAAAAAAATGACCGTTTTTCTACCTAATATCTGTATTATTATTTCTTTGATATAAAATACAATTAATACTCAAAGTATAGTCCATTGTTATCTGTGGGCGGGGTAGCCGAATGGGCTAACCTGATCAAGACAAATTGATAAAAAATCCTCACCCTCAACCCCTGGCCTGGGGTAACCCCGTATAGCCTTAAAGGTGAGGAAAGGAGGACCCAAAAAACAAAGTCCATTGTTATCTACCGTTATTAGCCCTCTGCTATCCAATTGCTCGATCCCACGCTGATACCATTCTTTGGGGTGGCTGCCAAAGAACTCTTGGACCACAATTTCAAATTCCGCAAAATTATCAAAATTTTTTCCTTGAAGATAATGGGCCATGGATCCAAATAAGTAGTAGTCCGATAGTGGGAGGCATGGACTATAAGGTGGATGAGGCAGGAGTCTCATATCAGAAGGGTTTTTGAATAAATTTCCACAAAATTCTAACCTCTTAACTGATTGCTGAGGAGTAAGTTCATGAGGGACCAGTTTACTGCTCTTTTTCACCTTTCCCATGGTGAGTAGATGGCGACTAACAAAAACTTTTTTCTTTTCTTATGTCGTATCTCCACTGCTAAATTTTTTTTAATAATTTTACGAGTTGCTTCAGCAGCTGTGAAATGTTTTTTACAGTAATGCCTTAAAATTGAGAGAATTTTGTAGGACACTGTCATGGTTCTTCTTTGAAACTTAGGCTTTTTTTGAAGAATTCGAATGGGATTAAACAAGCTTAGAGAATGCTCTAAAGGGATTATTAAGTATTGGTAATTATTAAATAGGATTAAAATATTTTCAGTCCTTTGAAAACTTGAATTTGATAAAACGTTCATACTTTTGTATACACCTTATTATAATATATCTATGAGTTATATGTTTATAATTTGACCAAAAGTGTGTAAATATATGTTTTTGGACATTAAGTTTGTTATCTTCAGCTTTAGAAAGACTAAATCAGGGTTTATTAAAATTTTATATTTAAAGAATAATAAAGAGTATAGAAAGAAAGATGAAATACTGTTAATGAATTAAAAACTGTTCAAGACACAAAAGCATTATGGGATCTGGTCCGTTCATTTAAATCTCAATCTCATATACATTCATAATCTTGTTCCTAGTTTACCTTATATTCTTACTAATTCTAGTGAGCTGACACTTCTAATTAAATGAAGTAAATTTCCATCCCTATTGGTGTCCAGTTGTGGGAAGTTTCATTATATATACACTTTTTTTTTTTAAGATAAAGAGGCAATAAAAGAGGATGAAGAGGATGATGATGAAGAAGAAGAAGAAGAAGAAGAGGAGGAGGAGGAGGAGGAAGTTGCAGAAAAAGAAGAAGAAAAGGTAATTCAGCATCAAGAAGTTAGTAGAAGAGGAGATGATAACAAGGAAAATGGGACTGCCAGGACAACGGTTGCTGATCGAAAGACAAGAAAGTCAAGCCGTATGGATTCCAGTGTGATCAGCTCTGTAAGTACATTGTGAAATACATTTTATGTCCACCATATTAAAGTAGTTTTTTCAGTTATTTAGAATCTTTACGTACTGTGTGTCATAGTGCTTTGTGTCTAAATTCAGGAAATCTAATTGTAGTATCACACTAAAGCAATTAAAAATGTTTTGTTAAATTTATTTTTCTCAAAATTTTTGGACTACGAGATACATTTACATGTTGTTTTTTCTATTTCACTATTCTAACTTATAAAAAAACCATACTGGTGATCTGCAATGGCTTGGATCATCCTAATGTCACAGAAGCTAGAGAAAAAAAAGGAATCTGAGTGACATTCCAATGGGTTCCAAGCCATTGCACTCTTCCAGGAAACGAATAAGCTGATGGATCGCTTTGGAAATTTCTCAAACCTATCCTTCACTGCCCTATGAATGCTAAAAGGATTTTAACAACACTGTGCAAGGAAGAGGTTAGGAATTGGAAAAAAACAGCAGACATCAGGGAAAAAGTGGGAATGTTTAACTGAGAGGCCAATAAAAGAAACACAAAGAAGGAAAGTATCGGTGGTGAGTTTCCTAATGAAGACCAGAGATGATTAAGGCATAGGTGTTAAACAAAAAAAATTTGTTTAAACATTTATAGGTAAATTTAAGTAAAGAAGAACTACATATCTGAGGTGAAGGTTATAAATTGTTTTTTCGAAAATAATTCCAGATAATAGGGGTATTCATGCAAACAGTGCTAAGTAATGTAAACCTCCTAAATGTGTAAAGTTGAGAAAATTATTTACCAAATGTGTGTTAAATATGGCTGCTAGCACTCTTGATATTAACACAACTTAGAGTCCTGTAAAGTGTTACTAACTTCGTAAACACACGGAGAAGGTTATAATAAGGTTTTGATGTGTTTGATTCTTTGTTTTTTGTTTGTATACAATATCCACAGAAATGTGATGTAAAGATAGCTAGGATTTCATCTATATCAAGTTCTTTGCCATCGGAATCTTCATTCATGATTTCCAATAAAGCATTGTTTTCTAAATAATCCAGCAACTCAGTGTTTTCGCTTCGCTTTGCATTTTGTAAATAAATCAAAACTTTAGTAGAACAATAAAAAACTCAAAAACTTTTTTTACAGTATATGTATAACCATACTATAACTAATGACACTTTAGCATGTTAACACAGACCATTTATTTACCATTCATTCAAAATTTATGCTGACTGCTTAACATGATAGCACATTAAGCATCTATAAGTAGTCTGTAGGCCACAACCCCCTACTCCACATCCCTATAAATAGCATATCGTTGTGTACTTTGTAACTATTTATTAAAAAAAAGCTAATATTCCCACAAAAAAAAGTGAACACTGCCCCAAAATGGCGTCCAAACAAGGAGGACTGACAACTTTGACTTGAGTTAGTTATTTGGTCACTGAGAATCTGCATTTAGCCTGATTTCTGTCATAATTGGCCTTTTATTAAAGTTTGATAGTCAGATAATAATAAAACATGAAAAAAGCATTAAAAAATAATTGGCTCAGGCAGTAAAAAAACACCAGTAAACTCAACTTTAAAGAAAAAAAAAATTCAAGTTGAAAATCAAGCATTGTTTGTAATTAAATAGCCAACAGTAACGAAAAACACTTTGAAATAGACCATATGGAGAACATATTTCTCTTTTTAAAACACTGATTACTTTTTAAAATATTGAAATATTTGTGTCAAATGGAAATGCTTCAAAGCAGTTCCATAGAAAATGCACTTAATCCGCAGTACTGGCGTAGGTGCCTACAGTCTTGTGCCACATCATTCAGTACTCATAAATGCCATAGTTATAGAGTTATACTAACGTTTTTTGGTATATTATTTTGATTGCATTAACAAACAAATATTAATCCCATTATTTAATTGTCCAAAAAATTTATATATATATATATATATATATATATATATATATATATATATATATATATATATATATATATATATATATATTTTTTTTTTTTTTTTTTAATTTAATAGGGTATATAAAAAAATATGACTGTTTTATCAAATTCAAGATTTCAAAGGACTGTAAATATTTTAATCCAATTTAATACTTAATAATCCCTTTAGAGCATTCTTTAAACTTGTTTAATCTCATTTGATTAATTAATTGATTCCCATTATTTCATGGCATTTTTCGTTATTGTTGGCCATTTAATTGCAAACGATGCTTGATTTTCAACTTGAAATTTTTTTTTTCATCTGTTGACTTTACTGGTGTTTTTTTTAATGCCTAAGCCAATTAGTTTTTCATGTTTTATTATTCTCTGATTATCCAGCTTTAATAAAAGGCCAATTATGACAGAATTATTTAGCTTAATGCTGAATCTCAGTCCCCAAAAAACTAACTCGTCAAAGTTGTCTGCCATGTTTGGACGCCATTTTGAGGCAGAGTGCTCACTTTTTACTTTAGGAACATTGGCTTTTTTAAAATAAATAATTACAAGGAACACAACAATATGCAATCTATAGGGATTTGGAGAGGGGGTGCATGGTAGAGGGGTCTGTGCCACCGTGTAAAGTACATGAATACCCTTATAGAATGTAACAATTTCAATGTATTGAAAGATTGTATTTTTATACTAAAAATAATAATAATTATTTTTTAGAAGTATCAATGGAAATTTTTTAGGATATTACTTATATTAATTTGCAATGCCACTTCAACAGTTTTATTATACTTTTTAAGGATATAATTGTTTCCAATCTCCTCTAAAACTTAAATATATATTAAAAACAGAATCACAGTTTTAGTAACGGGCTATAAAAAAAATAACCGTTCCTTCAACTGCTTGAATCCCAAGAACATTTACCAACAATGTATTATTTCTTTAGAATACTAATCTAATCTTGTTTATCAACAATGGACTGGCTTAATAAAGCTTAGTTCAAAAGCCATGACAGTGTCTTACAAAATTCTTGTTATATTTTAAGAGATTATTGGAAAAAATCTTGTTCAGCCGCCACACCGTAACAGTTCATGAAATCATTATAAGGTCTCCTTGACGAGCAAACTGCACAGCATTGGTTTCAAAAAGTTTCTAGTGAAATACGTCCTTGGAAAAAAAGAAGAGCTCAGGCTGACCATCACTCAAGATTGATGAGGTTCTTCAGCAAGCTGTAGGATCTAATCCATCCACAAACACTTGTGATTTTGCTGAGGAGTGTGGAGGTTTGAAAAAGTTCAGTTCAAAAAATCCTTCAGATTTGCGGTTTTATGAAGAAAAAAAAAAAATATTTTTCTATTACTCCATTATTATTGAAAGGAGTATATATATATATATATATATATATATATATATATATATATATATTTACATCTAATATTAAGCTATCAAACGCCAGTGACCGTAATGTAAGTGGACAATGTTATGATTTTGCATAGAGAAAATTCATCAAATGATTCACTAACTTAATTTTCTAAAATGATGATTTTTCAGAATAAACTGACGATGGATACCTAATTATTTAAACATAATATCGGATCTAGAGTTAATAAACTACAGTAAATGTTTTTAGAGTATTATTATTTATATGATATTTACAACTGTATAAAAAAAAATACATCTAGTAAATTCGTACATGGATATAATGACATGAAACACATGTTGAGAAACTAGCCATTGGTAGCACTCTTATAATATGTCTATATTAGGAGATCACGGGGCCATCTTCTTTTCAGACGCCTTGGAGGGTTATGAGGAATTGAATAGGAAGCAAGGTTAGAAACAAGAGGGTTGGGATGGTTATGAAGTTTATTATGGAAGGATAGATATCTGGATTGGGCCAAATCTAATACATAAGGAACATTAAGGTCATTATGGATGATTTTGTAACAAAGTAAGGAGCATTGAGGATTTTGTATTGTAAGGATTGGATACGAGAGTAATTTGAAGGTTTGGTGGAGCCCCATAGCTCAACTCTGTAAGTCCAAATAGTCATGTATATGAGTCTTTTGTAATTAATTGGAAGGTTAGAGCGTTTGTCTAGTAAGTGTTGAAGTAGTCGGAAATGTCGAGCAGTTTCTTGTCGTTTCAGTCTGGTATGAGGATTCCAAGTTAGACGTTTGTCCAGGTGGAGTCCTAGGTAACGGATTTGTTCCACAGGAATAAGTGAGGTGTTGTAAAAGGATACTGAATTACAGGAAGTCATTGGTTTACGATTTTAGGGTATAAACCTATGTATTACAAATCCATGGAATATTTTTATATTTCACAAAAGTACAATGGAATAACGTTTAACCAATTCATTGTCTTGATTGGGTGGATTTTATATACTTTTTTTTTTCAAAATTAAACATAATTTTTTTAATTTACATTTAACTAGAAAATTTCATTTAAGTTCCTTCCTTGGAAACATGTGGTTTCTGTTGAATAATGTTATTTTTCAGAAATTATTATTTATAATTTATTCATCACTCTGCATTACCTTCTACAACGTAATTATTTATATCCATAATTGTGGGTTGATGGTTGACTGTCGTGAATAATGAAGAGAAGGATAGTTGGGATGATCAGTCAAAATAAAAATGGCAAAAATAAATATTATTATTTATTTTTACCATTTTTATTTCGACTGATATCACCCCAACTATCCTTCTCTTAATTATTTATATCAATTTTAATTGTTAAATAGAATTAAATGAAATTGGTACTAGGCAATTTTCACACTATTCTCCAAATTAACTCTGAATTGAATCAAATGAGCTGTTTTCAAACTATGGGTGAAGAAAAAACAACACCTTTGCAATTATGAAAGGGAAAGTATTTTTTTAATGTAGTGGATCGAATTTGTTGAAATTGAAACTCACTTGATCATTTGTTTATCAATGCCTAACTTTCTTCCAAATTAGGGCCAATTCGAATGAGCAGTTATTGAGAAATAAGCGTATCAAGGGAAATACATTTTTACTAATTCAAGAGAAAGTTGTGAAATGCATTCAATAAAAATGGTACAGCATCATTGTTTT